AGGGCAGCTAGTCATCACCACCCACCGCCAACTCTTGGGCTACTCTTTTACCAACGAATAGTGGGATTGACCGTCACATTATAACACCCCCACGGCTGAAAGGGCGAGCATGTTTGGTGGGATGCGGATTCGAACCCGCGACCCTCAGATTGCGAGTCGAGCGCCTTATCCACCTGGCCATGCCGGGCCTTCAGGATGTTATTCGCTCATCTAAAGAATCAAAGGACCCAATTCCTATGAATAAAAAGGTCAAAACACATTACTCCATATCCAGCGTCTGGAACTTTTGGAAAAACATAACCAGTGTCATGCACCTCATGTTTGTATGTTTTGTATTTTTTCCACTACAGTAAGTGCAAGAAAGGGTAAAACATATTCGTCAAACATTATCCTCTTAAAATCATTCATTGTCCCCCTCATGTATTTTAAATGGATCAAACAATGCTTTCCTATTTACATCTAAGATAAGAGGTTTCAAGACATGTTATCGGCTTTCAAACAACAACTTTGTAATGTAAATCATTTACAGAATTGATGGTAAAAAAGAGAATAATACGTTTCACAAATACTTTATATATTAATAACCATGGTTTTGCCAATAAAAGAATCATCAGGTACAGATTGAAATGGTTTGTAAACACGTTAATATATGTTTAACCAAGGAATTGAAGTAACTTTGAAATTCACCTTGAGATGACAAGTGAGGAGGAGCTTAAGTTGGTTTGGTCGTTTAGAGGTTTTTATGGATTTGTTTTTAGACTTCTATCTATTTCTAAGTTTCAGGGTACTTAGTTTTTTACCTTTTTCACAGACATGTAACTTTTTACAGTTTTTGTTTTTTTTTTGGATCAAATTGGTTTTTAGTTTCAATAACATGGGACGCAAAGATTGAACCCATTTTTCTTAATTTCCAGCTTCTAAGTTGCTCTTTAATTCTTGTTTCTATGGAACGTCCTGTTTGACCTATGTATACAGTATTGTAGCCTTGACACGTTAGTTGGTAAACACAACTGTTGCTCTAATTTTCGATTTTGTCTGTGTTGTTGCACTACATTTTGTCTAGACTGTTTATACCACCCTATTGAAACTAAACACCAATTTGATCCAGAAAAAAAAAAAACACTAAAATTTTACATACCTGTGAAAACGGTAAAATTAAATAGTTTGGAAATTTTAGAAATAAATCCAAAAAAAAAAGCTCTAAACGACCAAACCAACTTAAGCTCCTCCCCACTTGTTTCCAGGTTACTTCGATTAAACATATATAAATTTGTTTACAAACCATTTCAGTCTGTATCTGATGATGCCTTTACAAGCGAAACCATGGTCGTTAATAAAGTTAGCGTTTGTGAAACGTACAATTGTCTTAGTTTTCCCCGCTCAATTCTGTAATTATGGAGTTTCATTAAGTACCGACGATTTCAAGTATAAATCACATGTCATTCACTTGTTACAATTCAGAATTCTAACCACTACTGAAGGAGTGGTTCAGGTGAAACACAGTTTAACATCTGCTGCATTTTACAAGCTTGTCAAAGCATCTTTTCCTTTAGCCTGATATTGATGCTCATAGTTTTTAAAAGCTAATTAAAGAAACGCTTTATGATAACGACACTCCTGTTAGACGAGTGCCTACAAGTCGAAGAAAAGTTTGCTCTTACTCATTGTTTTGCAGACTAATTATAACATAACTACATCTCTACATTGGTAGACCTCACGTAATCGTGTGACACATCTCTTTTGCACATGCAAGTTAGTGATTTTCAGTTGTATGTGTGTTTGTCGGGGAGGTCCTAATAAAGTGACCAATCATTTTATATATATATAGTAAGTAACACTTATTTTGTAACATACTATTTAGTTATTTTATAAGAGGAGAATACAATATTAACACTTATCGATAGTGCATTTTCGTTATACTTAGAAAGCAAAACAATTCTGATGGTTTTTAGTAAGCACAGAGTAGTTGAAATTAAAAGAAAAAAGTTGCGCTTTAGTATTTTGTTTCTTCTGACATTCTTTTATCCCTTGTACTAATATAGCACAATCAATAGTCAGTTATTTATATATGTAATTCCTTGTTGACATTCCTTTTTTTTCATAGATGTATGCACATCACTGATATTGGGCTAGGCTATCTATCTACAATGGCTAACCTGTGCGCTCTTTACCTCCGATGGTGTTCACAGATTCGAGACTTTGGAATTCAACATCTTTGCAGTATGCGCCATCTACAAATACTGTCCCTTGCAGGTATAAAAGTTCTCTTTCATTTTGTCTGACATTGGTTAGAAAACTGGTATAGTAACTAGTTGGAGTCAATATTATAATGATCCATATAATTCATATAAACTTTTACTTGATAACAAATTACTCCAAGAAAAAAAAATCCGGTTCTTGGTTTTGTTACTGACTAATGACAATTAAGTAGCTCTAAACATCAACGACTTCCTAATCAAAAATTCCCTAGGAGGGAGGGGCATTAAAAAGGTTCGGTTATAAGTTTTTTATTACTCCATTTCTAAAATTGTATTTACTTATGGTTCGCAGACAAGCCTGAAATTATTTTACCCCTCTTCTGTTGTTCCGATCAGAAGTATGCTTGGGTTTCAAAGTTTACTATGAAAACTTAATAAGTACCAAAATACAATGTAGAATATGCACTCTATTTCTGCAATACATAGCTACTACATGAAATAATTGCACATGTCAACAACAAAAACATAATACCTAATCAATGTCTAAGTACAAAATTCCGTTATAACATGACGTTTTGGGACAACATGGGACCTATTGGTCTATCTTGGCTGTTCCATCCTCTAAACTACATTAAACCCATTAAATAATAAAATATCTTAAAGCTAGTTTTTATTATTCATATACTTATCAAGATTTCTCTTAAACTCACTTAAATTTACTGCCTCCACAACTTCTGAAGGCCAACCACACTGTTAGCAAAATAAAACTGTCTTAGCTGAAGATGATTTCTACCCTGCCAAAATGTATATTTGTGTCCTCTAGTCCTTCTATTATCACTGTTAAATATAAAAAAGATGATGCATCAACACTATCAATTCCCTTTACAATCTTAAACAGCTCAATCAGATCCCTCTAACTCTTCTTTTTTCATGAGAAAACAGTTTGCGAGATTTCAACCTATTTTCGTATGACAACTCCCCCATCCCAGGCACCATTCTAGTAACACTTTCCATCAATTCAATGTCTTTCCTGAGGTATGGAGCCCAAGACTGAACACAATATTCTAAATGTTATAAATAATATATCATGATAAATATTGGTAGCCATAAAATATATTATATTTAGAGGAATTCTATCGCATCCTACAGCTTCTCTCTCTTGTAGCTTCAGAAATCATGTTACATTTTTATAACCAAATATTTTACTGATGTGTTTGAAAACTCTAAACCTGACCTACGAAACTCTCGATACGTTTACAGGGTGCCCTCTAGTAACATCCGTTGGATTATCTTCAATTGTTCAGCTTCGCCATCTTCAGGAGCTTGAGCTAACCAACTGCCCAGGGACTTCGGTAGAATTGTTTGAATACCTACGCGAAAACCTTCCAAGCTGTATGATTATAGAATGATGATGACTTTTAATTGTCTATATGTGAGTGAGTTACGAATTTAATAATAGTGAACACCTTAAATATATTGCATTTATTTCGTTTATTCGATATGAATTTTTATTTTTTACAAATGCAGGCAAACTAGTCAATGATCGCATAGAATTTTTATAAGCCCATAGACAATGAATACAACGTATCTATGTGCTTAATTCTTTACTAGAAACCTCCGAGGCTTAAGTATAAATTTAAAATATATAAAAAATAACAGCAAATTACCTAATTATCATAAGCTGATTACTAAAACTGAAACCTACACTAGCAGCCCTTTGTAATTTTTAAGACAATATAACATAATTGCAGTTGATACATTAACTAACTGGTGAAAGGTAATGTAATTTAGTTAATAATCAGAACTAAGTTGTTCCTTAGTTTATTGCTTGGTGGATCTGAATTAATGGAAATGAATTTTGCTAATCACATAACATATTGCAAATTAACATACCAAATGTTTATACAATCTATTTAAAAAGGTAGTGATCATTAAGTAGAGATGAAAATTACATAACCACTTGATATATTTTATTATTTAGCTAATTCTGGTTGATAAACTGCTGGTAATTTAGCACAGATGAATGGATGTGCTGTTGAACAGTTCTTCGCAACTAAACTACTTCATAGCTGATCGTTTAGAACAGCCACAGGATAGCTGGTTGGTGGATATTTGATCAGATTACAAGAGCTAAAGTGATCCTCAGATGGTCACTTGGTTTTGATACATATTAGGTGTTCAGTTATTCATCTGATCTTGGATGATCATTTAATGCAAATTGCTTAAATGGATTAGTAATTTAGCTTGTCTATTCTTCTTAATAGATCTACAAGTTAGCTAATGAATAAATTGTAACTCCACACTACTGGTTGAAATTGACCATCAGAGTTACATACAAAAGGTATTGTTACATCTCTGGTCGTTAGTTAATTTTCCCTAAAAATTCTTTCCGAAGAAACTTTAGCGATACAAGTCCTTTCTTAAATAAAACTGGTTTATTCTTTCTGAATACAACTTTGCAATACACTTAATTTCCACACTCGCGCTATAACAAACGCTATAATTCACAACGAACGTCTCACGTACTCGACTCAACTGTCAATTACACATTGTTGCCGTAACTTCTTGGCGGCTTATATATACAAGACTACCGCATATCGAGTAGTCTCTCGAGACTTCAGGAAGGGACGTGAACGTTCGAAAATATGACGCGTTACTAGCGTCATGTGACCCCCGCTGTCGTAACAGCATGTTTGTAGTAGGCAATATGTGCCTGGTGTAATGTAAACTTCTTATACTGTAATATCTAACTTACACTTAGAAATTGCTAGTTCAGCAAGACCATGCATAAAATATTATAATAATGCAATCTTCACTTAACCAAGCTGTCAGAGATTTAATGTTCTATCATGTTAGCTGACTTGTGTGCAACTTAGTATGTGGTTAAATTTTTACTCCACATAGACTGAATTTTTTGTCACTTGACATTTTTGTACCATAAGTGGAATTAATGATGGTCAAGTTGGGAACATACTGTAGTTATATAATGTGTATTAGATGTTTCATGGCTTAAAAAATTTGCATTGCAAAATGTAGTATGGGGCTAATATTTCCGATATTGGCAAAAATCGCATCATTTTTTCACAAAACAACTTAAATCTTATGTTAGATCCATGATGTTATATGAACAGTTTTTAGAGTGAAAATATTTGTCCCAGAAGATACCTTCAGGTTTTTCTTCTTTGCATACTAGTATGAAATTCATGGTATTTTTACAGGTAGAGTTAAAAAAAAGTATAAATAAATCTTTTTAGAAATTCTAGACCATTATATACACATAAAAAAAATCAATGTAAGAATAATTATCAAATTAAAAATTATTTCAGAAACAAATCTCTTAAGCTAACAATCCTGGTCAGTGAGTGTTGCAGGTTATTTAATAAAACAACAAATTGGCAGTATTTGTTGTACGTGTTGAGATATAGATGTGATACTTGTCTTTCAATATATGTGCTAGTTTTAGTTTAAAAAAAAACTGTAGTCACAATAATATGTATTTGTTGTTTTAAGCTATTTAGTAATGCCTTCAGTACAGAAGATCATTGTTTAGAGAAGAAAAAAAAAGGTATTATTTAATACACTTTAGTTAATTTTGCCGGGTTTTCTCAGAGCCTTATTTCCCTGTGTAATGTTCTAACGGTTGGGAAAACTTCCATGTGTACAAGGAATGAAAATTATACAAAAATATCTAAGTAACAAGGTTCAATATCTGTTTCACATTCTACATGTATAATTTTATGTAGTTTTATCATCTACTCATAACTAAGGTAAACCAATTTTTGCTGTAAATATTTTTTTGCAGTATGTCATTGTGTTGTTTATTAAGGTGACATAGGTTATTGCATTTATTAACTTGTTCTACATTAACATACTAAACAGGCTGTTTCTTCAACCACATTTATTAAATATGCTTCAAAATTATTTTTGGTTAATTTATGTATACTCAGCCTTATTAAGGCAGGACATAAAATTGGTTACATAATTCTAAGTAAGATCAAACTGCTCATTGTGATTTTACTACAAAGGTTAAAGTATATTATTATACACTAATTGTGTAATTGAGATTAATGTGACAGCAGTCTCATAAACAAGTTTAACATCACTTCAAAACAACTGGTTCCTTATCTTAATTAAAAATATACATCCTGATTCATTAACCTGATCAACATGTTAACTATCGTGGCTCGTTTATTATTTACAGGGACGTAGTGATGGGGTGGGATGCTGTAACCCCCAGTACAAATTCAGCACAAATTCAATTTTCTGTGAATTCTGTCAGTAAAATTTTTAGAGAATTATCAGAATAAAAATAAATTATTTCTTGCTGTAACAAATTTTTAGGCAAACAATGAAAATGCCGAGAAAATTTTGGCACATGTTCAGCAAAAGGTGATACAATTCTTAATTTAATCATATGATGCACACTATTCTACCAATGGTTCTGAATGTTTTAGCACTTTATATTCATTCATTTTCACCATTTCTGTTTAAGAAATTCCAGAAATGCTGATTACCTTTTTTTAGTCAGAGCATGCTATCTTGTAAGCAAAATTTATTAATGCAACCCCCACCCCCTCCAATTTATAGGGACTTCACTTTGCCCCTTATTATATAACATGTATATCATGACAATTTAGTATTAAATAGTTAAAAGTCTGGGTACATAACAGAAAAAACACCCAAAAACTAAAGTTTAAAATCATAAATTAAAACTTGCCACATATTATGACACTATCTGTTGCCTTCCTCAGTGGTTACTTAATATTGTACATCAATACAGGTGATGAAGTACACTGATAGTAATAACATGCAATACTCTATTGGTCCAGTTGTAATAGTACTTCTATTCATTTGATTTTCATCTTCTAAGATACATCATCACTCATGAAAAATACATTGAAATGTTATATTTAGCTAAATGTTTTCTATTTTTTCACTCTTGTAAAGATGTGATATGCTAAAACCTGACACATTGGTAGAGCTGAACTTAATATTACTTTTATGCATGTACTTGATCATAATAAATTTGATGACATTAAACAGGAAGATTAATATATACTACTAATCCTATTTTCTGGTTGGATAGGATTTTTTGGGTGAACTAGAATACTGCTTAAAGCTATACAGGATTGATATATATTATAATTTCAATTTTGGTTAAACATATTTTAATTTAATCCTTTGTCTTACGGTGTCACCATGGTTGTTGTAAGCTGTGAGTTCTGGTTTCTTTTATTAGTTAATTTACTCTGATCAATAAGTTGTAAAATAGGGTATACATTATTTTTTAAAGCTCATTTTCTTTAAGATTAATCAATTCATTTGAGCAAAGATTTTGTGATCTTGTTATTAGACCGTAACTTTATGAGAAGTAGGGTGATGGGAATGAAAATCAAGATATTTTCTATATTCTCAGGTTTCTGCAATACTGTAGTAATTAAGGTTCTGTTTTATTTATTGTAATATCAAAGACTGTTAAGTTTTCGTTGAGATTCTCTTTCAGCTGTAAATTTAATACAATTATTTATACTACTGAGGTGGTTCATGAATTTTTCACTTGAGTTTTGTTTTTCAAGAATACTAAAAGTATTGTTCATATACCTTCTATAACTTTTAATTTTGTGACGAAAATATTTAATTTTCAAAGCTGCTGCAGTAGTTGAAAACTAGGAAGCTCATAACTGTACTGTGAATTGGTGGTGAAACAGAAAACGAGTATTGTAACAGCCTTAATAGAAATAATGGATATCCTATCCAATTTACTAAAAGAAACCAGAATTTACAGCTACAACAGCCATGGCGATTCCACAAATCAAAAGATTATCAGAGTAATTTAAAACATTTAATCAAAATTAACATTAGAACAGTTTAAATCAACCCTGCAAAAATGTAAGACCCTATCCAACCAGAAAATAGAACCAGGTAGTGTAAATGTATATAACATTTCCTGTGAAACAGATCATGAACCCTATTATGTTGTAACAGGCTGAATGTTAAGTACATATAAAAGACAACAACATAAAAATATTAAGTTTGGCTGTACTAACACTTCAGGTTTAGCAAATTGGATCTTTGCAAAAAAAATCATATTCTAAATTGGAAAAATACTAACATTTTATCCAAACATTATAAAAAATTTCAACATATTTTCATGAGTCATAGTGTATCCTAGAAAAATAAAATCATATGGACACAACTACTAGAACAACTGAACCTTAGAATATTACGTGTTATTACAGAAACTGTATTTAATCACCCACAATGATGTACAGTCTAATAGCCAATGAGAAAGACACTAGATATTGTCAAAATGTGTCAGATTTTAACTTCAACAGTTTTAACTTATGGTTTTAAACTTTACTTGTTGGAGTTTAAATAAAATGTTTAATCATGGTGATTTGTTCATAACCCAGGTTATCACTGGTAGACAATTAACTGTTCTTTACAGTATGTGTGTGTGTTATACTGACAGACTTATTTTATTTTCAACTTTACAAAGAAAAGTTGATCAGTATCATTAGTTTACTTATTCTTCCACGCAATCACTCGTCTTTAGTGTAACTAATTTAAGAACTTGTAAATTAGACTGCTTAACACGTGGAACACATTCTGGTCAAGTGTGACTTGTATATATAATTTTACCAGCTATTAATTCCTGAGTTTTGCTATGATTTTTTTCGCTCTCTAATTTTCTGATTTAAGATATAAATTAAGTTTTGGAGGTTGTTCAGAAAATTATTTTTGTTCACCAAATTATAACTGAAAACTAAGGGCATAGACCTATATTACGAAAGTATTAATGGAATACTGACAGCCATGTAGTTGTATTTTTACTCAAGCAAATTTGAGAAAAGCTATTTTCTGTAAACTTAATTTAAAATTGGGATGCTTTTCTATAAACTGAATTTATGGTCTGTGTTCAAAGCTGTACCACTGTAAAAATATTTAACATAACTCTAGAGAGTGGTTATGAATCTGTTTTAGATTGAAGCTTAGTACTAAATTATGCTACCTGCCTAAGGTTCATAAATCCATCAGAAACTTACAAGAGAGAGAGAGAGAAAAAGTGAAGGGCATGCCTAATACAAAAAATATGGCATTTACAATGACATGTTAAAATAAACAATTTACTTACCAGATAGTGAGAAACCTGCCCTTGCTTGATGTTACATAATTAACCTTGATGAAGAATTATACATTACAACTTTTACCAGTGGGTGTCATTGTACCCCTCACTTCCTATTATATTACAGTTATATATAGACACACACACAGAGTTTGGAAACAGTGATTGAGCATTAAGAATATCAAAGGACAAATACACACACATCCAACTTTCTAATAATGTATAAAGAAAATAATACACCATTCACATTACAGGAATGCCTGCAAATTTATAGTTTTCTCTCTTTCATATAAATGCTGTCACTAATTCACAGCATCTACATTGCTGTGAAATTGTCTTCATGTATCTTAGAATTACTTTCATTTTTTATGTAACTAAATGAATGAAAAAAAAGCACATCTGACGTAAGTACCACTTATGATATGCCACTCACTCAGATGTTAAATCAACCAGTTTTTTTGTCTTTTGTGTGTAAGTCACAAGAAATATAATAAGAACTGCTAGCTATGACATCCTATTTATCTAACTGAAACATATTAAAAAAGTTCAGTGATATTATCAGAATGCTATTCTTTCTCATCATCATTGTTTATATCTTCATTGCTATCCAGAATAAAACTTTATAAAACTAAAAAAAAAAAATCACATAACAGAAGAATAAATCTAAATTTATTTCCAATGTTAAATGTACTTTTCAGAATTTTTCTGAAAAAGTTGTTTCCAAGAAAGAACATAATAATACAAATTCTTTACAATTTTCCTTGGTTCCTTACTTCCAAACTTTACGAGTGATCAATTTAATAGATCATTTTATTCACCACCATAAATGTTGTCCCACTTCAGCCTTTTCTAACACTCTTAATAAATTACTAACGTTCTAGCAAGAAATGGAGGACTAAGAACTAATTTTTTAAAAATATGTAAATGTGTAAACTTGTGTTTATAGTAACTGAACCACTTTAAAAATACAAGTATCATAAATAACAACACAAATGAGTTCTGTAAAACAACTGAGTAATATATAGCTCTTAGTAATGTAGACTAGGCATGCATTTATTTTTCTATCTCCAGGGGACCATTTAAGTAATTAATGTATTATTATCTGTAAAAAGGTCAAACAAGGATGAGATTAAAATACTTCAAATACATAATTTTTTGCATGTCAAATTCATCTTAACTTTTAGTTTGATTTAAAGACATATGTAATATTTGTTGTATTCTTACTGGAAAGCTAAACAATGGGCTATCTGCAATCTCTCCACTGTGGGGGAATTGAACCTCAGATTTTAGCAATGTAAGTCCATAATCTTACTGCTAACCCATCAGGGGGCATAATATTTGTACGATAACATATTTAAAATTAAAGTATAAGCACAAATGTATTACATAATGTGCAACAAATTGTTGTTACTCAACATAACTAGTTGTTTGAAATCTCTACCTTGAACTTGATGCAGTTACTTTAAAGTCTTAGCCACTATGTCTAGTTATGTACAGTGCTCTAAGAATAATGTATTACTTGACACAAGCACTGACATCAACACACCTATTTCAGAACAGAGTACAACTTTAACTCTGTATATATTCTTGTGATAACTGCTCATGCATGTTTCACTGTTATTCAACTTTCTGTTGTAGCTAGACTATAATAAGATGAATGATGTTAGACTTTCTAGACATTTCAACACGATATCATCATAAGAACAGGTTAAATTTTCATGAAATGCTACTTAGGCTTCTTTAGAAAGAAAGAAAATAGAATTATATTATCTCAAAAATCTAAAAATGTTTTATGTTTTTACATGTTAACCAATCAATAAAACCTACCGCTACCGCCACAGCTACTTCTAAGTGCTATTCAAAAGTGAAAAGTGAATTTATATATAATCCCATATAATAACATGGTGTATATTACTCACTGTTCTTAAAACAGTGATTACACATGCATACTCAATAGAAAATAATGCATAATATGACTCTGAAAGATATAATAAAACCTCACTAGAACTTGTTATTACATCACAGTCCTCTATAGTTACAGCTGTTGTTTACTAGAGTTCTATCTCGTGTTCTTATACTGTATAGAATAGTACTTGTGTTTTGTATATACCCATTTGAAATTATACGTATATATGTATGTGTGTGTGTGTATATATATACACACACATATACATACCGTAGCTTTGTATAATATGTAGCTTGTTGTGTGAAAAATTCAATTAAACTATTCAAACACACGTGACTGAAAGTTATGGATTGCATCAGTTCACACATGAAAATGGTTGATTTGGTAATTAATGTGTGTATCAATATTAATCACCCACTATTAATTTCTCAGTGCTGTTTATAACAGGCCAAAATATATATATTATGTTAATTGTAACAGATAAAATACATTTTCCAATACATTCCTATTTTAAACTTTAACTTAGTGAATGTCTATTTAGTGACAATAACTTAAGTTGATTAGACCTTGAACAAACAGAAAAGAAAAAATAATAAAAGATGTAATAATAGCATCAGAAGCAAAATACTTAAGTTTGGACTTACTTGATGTTTCAATATCAAAAATGTTGTCCTAAAGCTTTAATGATATTTATCATAAATGTTTTAACTTAAAAAAAATATGTTTAACACCCAGTATGCAAGTTAGGGAAGAAATATGTTTGGTGGTTTGATCAAAAACAAAGCTTTCTGGTACTCTTTTATTCTTTATTCTGAATAAAGAGTTGAACTCCTTGCAAAACCTGAATTGCCCCATGGTCAAATTCACACTAGTCTCTAGACAATGAAAAAGTAAAGTACTACCTTAATCCAAAATCAACCCAAAAACTCAAGAGCTAGGTGTGCCTAATCTAACTTCACTACTGTTTGTAGCGGGAAATGGGGGCCACACTAGTGCCTCGATTATCAATGGTTCTTTCCTTTCCCCATATTTTCTCAAAACAATTGTGCCATTACAATTCTAGACAATAATTTACATGTTTTGGAAAAATTGTCACTCAGAAATTCATTTTGGTTGCAAAAGTTCAGGTGTTGCATGATATCTGGGGTTTTCGCGTTTACAATCTGGCATGTGTTCAAATCATAAGTCAGCCTGTTCAAGCCTAGCCTTACTTCTTTTATTTTTAGCTGTTAAGACAGGAATACAAAATATTTGTAGCTTGGTTAATTTTATTTGATTAGTGATTAAAAACATAATAAATAAAAACACATTAAGATTTCTTAAAGATTTCATTCAACTTCAGTTGTCGTCCGGTGGTTCTACGCTGCACGGTGTGCATCCTTTGTGTTGGGGTGTCGCACAGTTATGCATTGTCCTCTTCCTTCAGATAATTGGTATCTTCAGTCAGTTTTACCAAAGGCTTTTTCATAATATTTCCCAAGCATAGATTTGTGCTAATTTTTGACTTATTTTTCACAGGCATTGATAGGGTGCGAATGCACTTTCATGTCTATAGCAGAAAAAGTGCCAAAATTTAGGAGCTATTTATGTCTATATTATCAATTAAATTGAACTAAAATGGGAACAAGCAATCAAAAGAGGAAATATTATAGGAAAAAAAGTGGAATTGGACTCGTGTAACTCACGAAATTCAGAAAAATCAAGCGTAATTGAATGACACTTGGCTTTTATGATTATGATGACTTTTATAATGTTTCATGATTATGTGATTAAATGACAGTAAAAATATTATAATTTAAATATATTGAAAATTTTATTTAGATTAAACAATGGACTAACTAGTGAGATGCACTAGTGCCTCAATTATCTGCTGTTTCTGTTATCTGTGATTTTTTGCTTTCCCTGGACCAGCGTGGATAATTGAAGCACAATCACGATATCAACAACTACTTGATAGTATTGCCTGAATTTGATCCCATCCGTGTCTAAACACACATACTGATTGTATGAATTGAGAGAAAGAAGAGAAACAATATGGCATAAAATTAGTAAATCCTAGGAACAAAGTTCGATTTAGGACTCAAAGAACACAAAAACAGTTCTGGACTTCCAAGAGTCCAGAACTGTTCTAGATATGAGTTCTATTTTGTACAACCTGAATAAAATGGGAGAAATTACTAGATGCCATGACGAAATATTTAGTTGCCAAGGCAACTTGGCACCTGGGATTTGTTGAGGCCTGCTGTAACCATACAATAATAGACCCACAAGCAATTTAGTGCATACATAATTTTGAAAAAGTATTTCAAAAGTTGATGGGGTTTAGACCCCATTAGCAATTCTTTGGTCAATAAACATTCAATGTACTTGAATCATACGAATAGGAACCACACCACATAATACTTAAGTCTTAGGAAGAATTAGGTTCTGGTCTCTGTGATAAGGTCTTTATCAGATGAACTAATGAAAACTAAAGTTTAGAAACTGAAAAATTATCCATTTCAACACTATAAGCAACTGCAGCTCACAAGTGATTCTGATACAAATGTCTATTTTGCTTAAGATTATACAGAAATGAAGCTTAAAACAATGCGAATTTCAATATAATTCAACCATTTGTATTTCTTTATGTTAAAACGTTGTCTAATTTCTACACAGGAACACCACAGGAAATAGTATCTTAGTTTATAACTTTTTGTACCTGTGTTTTTCATTCTATTTTGAATATTTAATGTATTCAGACTAAAACATTTATGACTAAGGAATCAAACAGAATTTTATAACAAATTTTACACTACCTTAGATTTATTCAAAACCAACTGTTACAGTACCAAAATAGTCATTAAAAGACAACTATTTTTAGTACAAATGTATGTATCATCATGAACTTCAGAATCACAGCAAAGATATTCTGACCATCACCTGGGCTGTGCTAACTCCACCATGCCAATAACCCCAGTCCTGGCTCACTTATGGAACCCTGAACAAATAAACAATTTTTTTTTCTTGAGTTATGGGATTGCTACATTTCAGACAGTAAATTGGTGAAATTTAATGTTTTAAGCATTCCTTGCTGATAATGAATGATTTTTGGAATGTTGTCTAGTGCTGTGGTACACAAATTGTGGGAAGTGCTTCTTTGGAAGGTGGGTGGGGAAGGGGGGCATGCAACTATGATTATTAGAAGCATATAAATTATAAAAGTACAAATTTTAAAATAAAGAAGCTTTAAAAACTACTATACAAATATTACTATAACTACCATTGGAAAATGATATGTACAGTATATACACAAGTAGGTTATAAGAGGTGTGGGTGGGAGGGACACAACAAAATATCTATTTAGAGGGGAGGGAGCACCATAAAAAAATCTGCATATCACTGGTCTAGTGGAACGTTTTAGTATTGTAAATACATTATATGAAGAACACAAACCAGTAGAGGATCTTGAAGCCTTAAATTTTATAGGATATCGAAACTGAGTCTGAATACTTATTTCTTACAAAACGTGCATATTTTCACACATATATAAAAGTGAATGATAGTATTATATAATTGAAACACAGTACCAAAAAAACAACAACTAATATCTAGTGTGTTACCTAATCAAACTATTAAAATTTATAAATATTCTATTAATTTCACTCATCTCTATCCAAGGTGACTGAATTTTTTGAAATGTGAAAATGTATTTACACTAACACAGTTTTCAAATATGTACATTTTTATAGGTTAATTTTTTGTTTCATTATGCATTTAGGATTTTAAACCTATCAATAAAATTCTTTAACTTCCATATTTTATTTTATCACCAGTGGATGAATTGAGCTTGGTGTGAGATGTTATGAAGAATAAATTAGGTTTGAAGTCCTCCATTTGTTAGTTTTTTGTGATATTTTCTGTGAATATTGTTTTACATTTTATCTAATACTGCATTGTAAATTTAACTCAATGCTTATTCGTAGGTTGTTTTATTTAATGTACCATTTACATTAAACATTATTTAAATTATGTTACGCTTATTTAACAAATTTACTAAATATTTCATACTATTTCATCATTTTATGTTCACCCCCTGAATGTTGTGCCTTGTAATTTTCTTGACTTACCTCTGCTTTTACCTAAATAACTGCTACATTCTATATATGTAATCTATCAAGATTGTAAACAACAGGGAAAATATCTTGGAATTTAAACTTTACAGATAAATGGTTAAAAAAGAAATAACATAGCAGCTTATAAGTGTAGAGATAATTTATGTATTTTGTTGTTTCATAGTTTGTTTATCCTGGCAAAAAGTGTAACAATTACAAAACAAAGTGAAAGATGTAAAAAAAAAGACTGATCATATATGTAATTCAGTAACCTTTCTAAAGTTTATGGGAGAAACACTGTGTATCTGATCAACAAATTCACCTTTTATTTGGAAGTCACAAAAACAAGATTATTTTATAGTTAAAAATATAACTTATCAAAATAAAAATAAATTAAGTAATATTTTAAACACATTATTAGCTAATATATATATACCGTTAGTGAGTATGGTATCCGTTTTTCTTTTTCTTCGTTTTCTGATAAATCTCCCATTTCTGGTCCACTTGGAGAAGTATCAACAAAAGTCTCATCTACAACACGAAATCTGCAGAGATAACAGACATTTCAAGAGCCAAAATTATTGGGAAGTACGTTTATATACAAAATCTTCCTGATATGGATATTTTGAAAAGGTATATACATCATAATGCATACTGTTGCCACACACATTCATTTAAGGAAAAATAAAGTCAATAATTTCAATTTAAATTAGTTCCTCATAAGTTATTTATAGTTTATAAATTAAACGAAATATTCCAAAAGCAAGTACTATGAAAATGCAAAAATTGCATCAAAATATTAAATTGTTTTTTTTCCCTTATACAATACTTGTCAATATAACATGATACTTGCTTGTTAAATGTTCTTACATATGATACATAAAAAAATTTACTTAACTATCAATTTGGTATACTCAACCCGAATGGTACATTATGGGACACAGAGACTAAACAGTTGGGTCAGAAAACTTAAGGTTGAGGTATAACCATTCTTAACTTATAAACGTTGACAGTAACACTTACCTCTTATGCTGCTTCTCTTAACAACAAATGTTAACTTCTTATGTAAGTTAAAAAAAACACTGGATAATATGATAAGAATGATTTTAAGTGTTTTAACATACACATCAAATGGGCCCAGTGTTTCCAAAAATAATACAGACACCATCTACAGAAAATATTTCTTATACACAGATAATTTCCTAATATACCTCACAAGAATTCCACCAAATAAATGTTCCTGAAGTTCAACTACTTTTAATGTTAGGAAAAAGCTAAAAAAGACTGACTCAAGCAATGAGGACTTATAATCCATTCTGATTTACTAATTAACTTAAAAATTAAATCAAGAAGAGTAGGAACCTATTACAGGATAGAATAATAACAACTTGAAATTTTAGGATACAGGAACTGAACAAATAAACTACAAAATCCAAACTAGTCTACTTAAGTCAAAAATAAATCATTCTCAGGGACTTCCTACAAACCACAGCTAGAGGTAGAAATATATAAACAGCACATTAGTACATAGTTATGTTTTACGAAACATTCAAAAAACTAATTTGCTAATATAGTAGCAAAATAAAAAATGTTGAATTTTCAAACTATTTGTGTATAGGCCTAAAAATGGGTGTTTTTCCAAGATGCAAATTAAGTACTGCAATGGCAAAATGTTCTTAAGAAATGTATGCAGAGATAGTTGAACAAGACTAACAGAAGAAAAGACTGTCAGATTGATCCAGTTGTTTGATTTTGAAATAAAGAAAATACTTTACTCAAAAATGGCTTGTATATTAAAACTCTTTTGGGACTGATGACTGGCTTCCCTGGTTTATGAAAATAGCAACTTAATATCAAACTCCACTGGATGTGGCAATTTGATCCTTAGTATTAGATTTTCTTGGATCTATATTGACATTCTAACAGTACTTCCAAGAAGACTAGTCTTATCATCAAAGAAAAGGAAAATCTGTCTTTTGTGTCTGTCTCTACACATGTCGAGAATGCCAGATGTGACTGGCAACTTACAGAAACAGACATATCTGCACTAGTACTAGAGCAGAGAAATGTTATGGAAATGGGAAAGTCTAGATTTTTTTGTAGTTTTGAATTTCTTGAAAATACTGCAGCAAGTGGGGTTTGGTGATTGTAGCTATCTTTTTGGAATGGCAAAAAAGTTAAAAACAACATATATATAAACATGTAAGAAATACATCAAAATTATCTTGTGAACATAACATTTTGTAGTATAACACGGAAAGAAAGGTAAAGTAAAATATATTACACATGGTACACAGTGTAAAAGTGTTATTTATAGCAGCAACTTTTTTTTTTTTATCAAGCGTAACAAAAAAAATGTAATAGTTTCTTTCAGTTTCTTTATCAGCTGTTTCATTCAAGGCTCCTAGGAATTTCCCAAATGTTCAACTTATATATAATAATTCCTACGCTATTTCTAAACTTGAAATAATCACAATAACAAAAAATGGCTACATCATACTCTGTGAATTATTTTATGTAGAATCCCATCATGAAGTAGTTCAATGATGTGATTGTACGCTTGCTAGGCTGGATAAAGTATTTAAATTTTGGTGTAAATAATAAAATGTATTAAAATTAGTAAAACTGTGTGTCTCTAAGACTTGCATGCCACTAGCCTTTAGACATAGACAATTCCCACCTAAACTCACGAGATTTCTCTTGAATTGCACTAATGCATAATGACACATTGTTGAGACCCAGAGAAAATGCTGGTTCCCCATCTGTCCTGTTTCAGGCTGAACATTTTTTACTGGAGACAATGCAATGGTGACTGTATATACCTATTTTGAAAAGTCAGCAAGCATGAGCCAGGGAGTGGCTTTTTCCATGATAGTCCATTGGAATAGGTACGGTCTGGATCAGATAGTAGATATATATCAGAATATACTACAAGGATACCTCAAGTGGTATTTAAGAACTCCCCAGCTCAACAGTGGTCATATATGGAATAAGGGCAGATGGTATGAGTGTCTTCCGTTATACTGACTCCATATGAAAATTTGGGTAAAGTGTACCTAGGGAGGCACCACCAGCCACCTGGAAGGATCCTGGAAGCAAATGCTAGAAACCAAAAGGGAATGTGCTCACCAGTCTAAAGATGATGGGTAGATTGTAGGACAGCAAAAGGAAGTGGGCAATGACCCTCGGGAGACAAGACAGGCAGATGGCGAAGAAGTTACGTGAACTATTCTACATGTCAGCTTGAATGATCTTGTCTTGCAGTCATCAGAAACAAGCAGTGAAAGAGTGATGAATCTGATGGGATGAAATGCAAACCACCTGTGAGCAACAACCTCCAATGAGGAGGAGACCAACAATCAATTTGGCAGACTGTACCAATAAAGGCAGAAGAAAATTTGTCCCTGGAGGAGGAGGAAGCCCAGGAAATATAGAGTGGAAGACAGAAACCTCAAAAGCGAGAGGATGAGCTAAGTAGCAACAAACAAGGAAGAAAAGTCTGTCTAGGTCTGAATGACCATACAAGAATGAAACAGAAGGATGAGAGAAAGAAGAAGCTTATAAGGTCTACTCCACTAGTGGATGAAGATTGAGGGAGGATGAATGACCATAGAAGAATGAAACAGAAGGACAAGAGAAAGAATAAGGTTATAAGGTCTACTCCACTAGTGGATGGAGACTGAGGGAGAACCAGTCTGGAGAAATTAAGAATATGAGGATGATTGAAAGGGTATGGGATGAGTTATTAGTTTGAACAACGGCAACCACATGCAAGAAGAAAGAGAAATATGTCTGAAGAGAAGGTGGTAGAAATTACAGGTTGCCAATGGCTTGAATGAGCATGGGTAAGTGTGCAGGATGACAGTGAGGTCCTGGTCAGGTATGGGAATGCTGTGAGTGTGTCTATGGATAAGTAAGGACCAGAACAAGGTGGAGAGAACAGTAAAGGAAACACCTTGCAGTACTGAGCAGACAAAATGGTCAAAACAAGGCCGCCTGATAACTGGCAAAGATGGAGGCAGCTGAACCCTGTAGAAAAGCCTGGTAAATGGAAGGAAGATGTCCAATGGTAGAACAATTAGGAGGAAGGTAGTGACAGATTGCCCAATATTGAAAGCCATGCTCCCCATGCAGGGAGAAAGACTAGGTAGAATGATACTTGAAATGGGAAATGAAAGCATTTCCAGATGGGAAAGTCCAGTTCAATGGGTGATGGTCCAAACTAATCCAAACATAAAGATGGAAGAACATGCTCCACGATGGAAAGGATGTGGGAAATGTTGAAGCAATAGAATGTATAACTGATAGGGGAAAAGGGGTTGGATTGTCAGGTGGCACAGAAGAGGGAACCAAGGTTAAGCTAGCCAGAGGGGTACCCCCAAGAGAAAAAGACAGTGTCTCCAGTCAAAGCCAGGAAGCAAGGTAAAGGCTGGAAAGGTAGGATAGCATTAGGACAAGTATAAAACTAGACCAGGCAGAAGGCAGTGACAGCCAGAGCCAAGGGATGGAGAACAGATGATCAGAAGAGAGAAAGCATGAAAGAGAGAGGTTGACTAGGCAATGATGAGTGGAATCCCTAAGATAACATCCCCCAATTCATTGGGGGAGAAGAAACATTCTGCAGGCAGAACCTGGTCCCACGAAGAGAGGCAGTCCACAACCTGGTTCATAGTACCTGGTACATGGCAGGCAAGGAAACCAACCTGTGTAGAATTGGTCCAAGAAAAAAGTCCAGGGTTTGAAAGCAAGGGGTTCTGGATCAATTCCTCCAATGCAGTAAATTGATGAAAGCTAAGGAGTTGTTGGAATGGAACATAACAAATGATTCACTAGGAGAAGTAATGATAGTCTACTATAAGTTTGAGCACATGGATATGAAGAGAGGATGTTCAGGGATGCTCCCCGACAAGAGGGGAAGCATAGGTGAAGAGGAGTATGACCAGTATGGGACAAGATAATGGAAAACAGAGGGTGATATTGGATTGATCCAGCCACCCAAACAAATACTATAATAGAGGAAGGGGAGGAAAACCATTGAGGTCAAAGGATCCTTGTGAGGTGTACCTCGGGTCACACAAGGACCAACAAATGAAGTACATGTGTGTGTGACCAAATGGGATAAGCCGTCTCCATGAAGCTGTGGTCACAAAACACTAAACCTCACACATAGAATGAGTAGGGTAGGCATGAATCCTGGTGACTTGCAGGAAGATGGTAGAAGATTGTTCCCAGCAGAGAATGTGGTGAAAAACACTCCCCACCCCTGATGAATAAATATTGAGTGTGAGTGAGGAATTGGTGATGAACACAGCTTCAAAGAGATATTGGACATAGGCAGGAGCAGAAGGAGAAAGAAATCAAGATGAGGACATAAAGGAGAAGGGAATGGGAGAGAAGGGTAAAACATAGAAAACCCCTGTGTGGATTAAAAAGGGTGACCACAGGAGCTCATACTATAATAGCCAGACACCTGCAGGACATGACAGAAATGTCACTGATGAGCTCAACGAGTTTGACACTGGGTAGAAGAGGAAGTTGGGAATTAAAAGATAGGGAACTCGTGACTAAGAGGAGGTACATATGTGGAGGTAAGGTTGGGTACAGTGTTGAAACAACTTGCTAAAGTGAAGACTGATGATGGGCAGCATCAGCCTGTGATTCAATCAAATCAGAAATAGCAACAAACTTCAGTGTAAAGAAAGGGGCAGGAATTGAAGAAGGGAAGAAAGAAGTCAAATTTGATATAGAAGAGTATTCCTTCCCAACAATCCCCAGGAACAAGGAGGCAAGTGAGAAGGGAATGATAAAAGTGGAAAGGCTCATGTAGATGAGTGAAGGGAATGAGAATCACCTGCAAATTTCATTGGGGCACTGTGGAGTGCCTCAGACTGGAGGTGTAGAGAGGAGAGGTAAAGATGTGTGGTAGAAAAGTATCAGGTAAAGACAGGAGTAGTAGGTACTGGAGGGTGAAATGAATGTCAACATTCAACTCCCCCCACTGCACTCATACAGGTAAGAGCAATCCCAAATGTGAAAATCATAAAAGGGGATTGAGAAAGACTAAAATTGAGGAAATAAGGATAAGATTGATGGGAAGGGTAAGGCTTGATGTTGTGGAAAAGTAAGTGGTCCAAGAATGGTAAAAGAAATGAATTAGGTTAGGATTAAGAAGTAAGGAAAAGAATATAATACGTGAGAAATAAAAGAAATGGTGCATACTTGAAAAATAAAGGCCAAAAAATGCAAGAAAGTTGAAGTTTCTCTTCCGCAGGAAGAGAAGTTCCCAAAGTCTAAGTAGGTTTGTCCTCCACATTCACCCCTCAAATGAGGGGAAGAGATGCCTGAAGAAGGGACTGGGGCTGTAGTTCCTGGCAGCATAAGGGAACCCACTACCCTATTCCCAATGGCTACCATGTCATCCCAGGGAATGTGCCTCTATAAGCCATAATTATTATTCAACCTGTGTGAGGAAATTAGTCCTTCACACAAGTAGTAGTAGATGTTACAATAAGTTAAAGAACAAAAATTAGGAAAGTAAGTGCCCTAAATATTGCAAATCTCTTTAAATTGGCAAAAAACAAAACAAAAACATCTGATGTATTCAGTGTCAAAGAATAGAATGAAGATCACGGGTGCCAAATTATAGATGGAGCTAGTGTGCAGGGAGCCTGTGTTGCTCTCCTGTTGGTGAAGGGCTTTTTCTGCATAATAATGTCATTATTCATTAGTGCAATTCACGAGAAATTTTGGGAGTTACCTCAAGGCTAGTGGCATGCAAATATCTAAGGCAAATGCATGAGGAAGATAGCTTTCTATGTGAAGGTGTGTGTATTACCAAGGAGACTGTTATTATGTGATTAATTAATCATATTTTCACCTGTGCTATGATGTGCAGTAAAGATGTACAATTGTTATTATCAGTTTGAGATATAGTAAATTATATAGCTGTGCAATTTGCTCAATTACTTATGAGCACTAATCAAAATTACAATTAAATTGACTGTCATGAAAATAATCAACTAAATTAGGGTTTCTTATCATTACTGTTTTCCATTATTCCAATTACCTAGTAATTGAAATATTGCTATTATGTTTGTATGTTGTTAAGCACAGAGCTACCTAATGAGTCATCTGCTCTGCCAAAGTTTACTCTCATAAGTTGTTTTTTTAAACTTCAACTTTGGTCATGGTGGGGAGGAGTAGTGCTTTGAGGTCTTGGGTTTGATTCCCACTGCCACTAAACATGCTTACCCTGTCCTTGTTATGGCAAAACTATTACGTCTAGCTGATACTGTCACTAATTTTGAACTGTTGATTAGAGAGAAGATAACTGGCTGGAAGCACCGATCATGATTTTATTTATTTTTTACTGTATTCCTCAAACAATTAATAAATACCACAGACTTAAATAACTGTTTCATTTCACTAATGCCAGGACTAGTACGTAATGTTAAATCTACGAGAAATAAAGTAAGCATTTTGGTCCAGTGTTCATTACTGCACTTCACATTTTTACTTTTTGCAACTGCTTTCCTTAGCAGCAAATATTGGCAAAATACAGGTTATTCTGAAAGCCATTTGAAAGCAGATTTTACACCTGTGACAACCAAACTTTGCAAAAGTATACACACTGAAGTTTTCTCTTCACATTCCCACCACTTAGAAAAAGATTACCAATATTATTTTTTTACTGAACAAATATTAAAGGTTCTGAAAATTTTGAAATTTTTTGGAACTGGATGTAGCCTAAAGTCAAAAGTAAGCAAAGCTGATTAAATGAAGTTTTGCAGATCTGTTCTAGAGTTGTATAAGGTTCAGGATGAAGCAAAATATTTGCAATATTTAATTCTGGAAAAAAGTAATAAACATACATATTTTGTGCATAATGAACAAACTACGTAAACATAAAACACTACAACAGTTTTGTTTCTTTTCTCCTCCCTTTTTCTATTTTGGGGTACAAAACTACCAATTTATTTAATGTATTATGTTATAAAGATTTACTTCATGGTATATGCACATACTTTCCCTTCCCTTACCTTCAGGCCCTACCTGGCTCTACTTAAGTTATATATTTAATAATAATAATAAAAAATTTAAGTCCTGAATAAATCTGACACAATGGAATTGTAAACCTAAGTCCAGAGAACACAAGAATCGAGGACACTTATAAAGAATAATGTATAATATGTAAATTTTTATACATCCAAAAAATACATTTACATTATAAAAAAAATACTGACCTGATTGCTTCACCAGGGTCCATAAACATGTCATGTTTTCCATCATCCGTTTGGTACTCCCAGATCCATACTTGCTCCGTCTCATCACTGTGTTACCAACTATTAAGTATTTTACTAACTTGTATATTGTAAGATCAGAATTGATTGTAAATGTGTGAATAAAAATCTCCACACTGTACAATTTCAAAAATTTTATAGAGAAATGTTAACAGGTGCAGTAATGATATAAGTATCAGTGTGTTGACTTTATACAGTAGAGCTGGACAAGTATAAATGATGACCCATGTGCAGTAATTACATAGATTAGTGTCATGTAAACTAATCAGTTAATTAAAATTATGATTAAATCAGGTACTCGAAATCAGTGTTTCTGATTATTACTACTTTCAATGGTTCCAACAAATATCCAATTAATCAAAATATTGCCACCAAACTTGTTCACCCCGTCTTTGTTATGGCAAAGTTATTAATGCTATCTGCCACTATCACCAATATTTAAGTGTTGACTAGCATCAACCACCAAACTTTTGTTTTGCTTGCTTGTATGCATACTGGTTTGAGAAACACTATACCAATTAATTGATTGGAACTGATTAATGGGGCCATTGATTAATCAGTTAGCAAGTTCCACTAACTGGCAAGCTCTACCTTACAGCTCCTTTTTCCACTGTATAGTCTTCTGTGTGATTGTCTTAGTTATGGACTATTGCCAGGGGGTAATACAGAAAATTAATTTGGACAGTGGTAATCAAGCATAAATGAGGCAAGTTTCTGTGCAATGGAAACTTTCTGAGGATTTGAGATGGGGATTGTATGGGGCACTTGAAGCAAAAAAAAAGTAGATACTTTTAAATATAATATTTATGTGGATTTTTGAGCAAAAATTGAAATAATTTTCATTTATGGGGTTTTGAGTCTGTTTTACTTCACTCTATAGTGCATTAGGCCTCTATGTACACAAATTCTCTTTTCAATTTCACCTCTGGTGAAAAGAAGAAAGACATCTTTAACACACACACACACACACACATATATATATATATATATATATATATATATATAATTATTTTTATTTATTTATTATTTATTTACTTTAGTTTGTTTTCTCGTCGTACGTTACTTTACTTATAGAGACTAGTTAGTT